AAAAAAAAAAAAAAAAAAATGAAGACGCCCAGAACCTAGCCGAAAGAAACAGCGGTACAAAAGAAGCAGAAACAGAAGAGAAGGTTCTGAAGTTCTTCATCTGATAGCGCAAGCGCTTAAAAATGGAAAAAGACGTTGGATTAAGGAATGAATCAACATGAACAACAATCACGTGCCAACATTCCAGCATCTCGAATCCAAGCCATAAAGCAGCAAACTCATTTAACAGTAGGCAGCCTTCTAAATGCATCAAACTTACCAGTGCGTTCATGAGACCTGAAGCAATGAGGTCGTTAGCTGTATGAATATGATCGTTGCTCTGCATTTAGCTTGTGTACTTAATCGAGTAAATCATCTTAAATTTTGCATAAAGAAAAATGAACAATTTCCGTTAACGGTCGTTCACTGAGAATGACCTGGCTGTTTGCTGAGCAGTTCCCCCATTAAAACTTTTAACTGGCCGTATGTAAAAACCACGCACGCCTAGCGGTGAACTTGTAATCTTTAAGTTGTACCTGGGTGGAGGACATTCCTCGAAAGTTTCAGCTTCCCAGCTTTTCTGGTCCTCTAATTAATGATTCCCCGCCGAAGCTTTCACGCGGTCCTACGTGAGGGTAAAGTACATCTGCGGGCTGAATATGAAATCTTTAAACTGTACGTGGACGGAGAACACTCCTTTAAAATTTCAGCTTTCTAGCTGTTTTGGCCCCCGAGTCGGCAGTTCTCCCGCCAGAACTTTCACGTTATCGTACTTGGGGCTCGGACATACGTGAAGGTTGGTGCCACAGTTCTAGAGTGGCACTTGGGCAGGGAATCCACTGGCAAAATTTCAGCGCCAAAGCCTGCTTAGCTGGTGAGCTGAAATACCGCATACACACACACACACACACACACACACACTAAAATACAAACACAGAGTTACGTCAAATTTCGCGTGCTCGTACGTGAGTGGCAACGTGAATGATTTCATCGCTCGCGGTTGCTCAAAAACGGCCCTGGGTAGCGCTCAGAAAGTTCCAGCACTCCAGCTGCTCTGGTTGCAGAATTACGTCGAATTTCACGTGTGTACACGCGAAACGTGCGTGGCACATGAAAGTGATGTGTGAGCCATTCTTGCGTGCATTTGGTCAAAGGTCACCGTCGGTTACGCTTAGAAAGTCCAGGTCCTCTGGCTGGTTTAATTCTGAAGTTGCAAAAGCGCGTACGTGAAATTTTCACGTGTTCGTACGTGAGGTGCAGAAGGGCTGACAAGAATTTACTTACACGGGCACAACAGCAGGCGACAAGTAACGCTGCAAAATTGCAGCTCCTTGCAGCTTATTGGTCAGCTTAAATCCGGAGTTGGCATGATGCGAGTTTAAACTTTGACGTGTGTGTACGTAAGGCTGAATTTAAAATCTGAATTTAAAAGGCTGAATTTAAAATCTTTGGACTAGACGCTGCCAAGGAACATCTCTGTGAAGTTTCAGCCTCCTAGCATGGGTCGCTCCCGAAAACGTTTCCCGCCAGAAAAATTTCACGTGCCTCTGCGTGAGAACCACGCGGACCTGACCGCCCATTTTGAGGATACGAGCTCGCACGTATGTGCAGATTAAGTCACCAAATTTCCAGCCTTATAGCTTTTGTGGATCTCGAGATGAAAACTCGTTACAGACGCACACACAGACATACACACACATACATACACACAGACACACACACAGACAACCCCTCGACAATATGCGTTCTTGTATTGCATAGCTGCAAAAAACGCACAAAAACTATCCCCCGGCTGCTCCGATTTGTTTGCTCGCAGTTGCAGTCTCTGTTTACGAAGCTTATTACTACTAATGACTGAGAAGGCTTTCTGATGAGCAGCAACCACAAAAAAAAAAAAAGATCGGGCTGAATTCAGCGTTGCAGTACTCAACGGAGCCACAGCAGAGAAGCGCCAGAAGGAAGCATCAACTACCCCGATTCCTCTTTTACAGAAAGCACCCGATATTGAGCAGCGCGACCGAAGCTCTTTTCGACCAATGTATTTACGACGGGAGCGGGGGAAGTGGTTGTGCAGAAGCCAGTACTGTGGCTGTTCCACAGACTTAGCAGTGCCTAATGCCTAAGCTTATGATTCGAACTCAGAGAGAGAAGGGGGAAGCTTCTCACGGGGGCCATCTCTCAATTCCGCACAGCGGTAAGTGGGGAGAAACAACCGTTCATGCGAGCTCCGCGTGTGGCACAAGCCCAGCGAGTGGTGGTTGCGGTGCCAGTGATCCAAACAAGAGGGGGAGGGGGGAAGGTTGCGGATCCCGCCACAGATCCTGAACCAGCGCAAGCTGAGCTACGTGCCCCCTCCAGCGCCGCGCCCATTAGCCTCATCGTCTGTTCACCCCAAAAACTTGCTGCCGTCATATCACTCACAAAGAACGGAAAAGTGGATGCGCCCTGCTGCAGCTGCTGCTTCATCCAGCCATCTGTATGTCCCGTGTCTGTGTGTGTTTGTGTGCGGCAGGTCTGTCTGTGTATGTACGTGTACACGCAGATGTGTGTCATATGATTGTGTGTGTGCAGACACTGACGTACCTACTGCAACAACCAGCAGGCGACTGCAGCACAATCTCTTTCCTCGAATCGATACCCTCGCAAAGGGTGGTGTTCTCTTGCGTGTGTATGTGTGTATGTTGTGTGTGTGTGTGTGTGTGTACGTGTGTGTATGTGTGTGTGTGTGTGTATGTGAGTTAAACTGTGCGGGGCATGCTATGGAAGATGCTCGCACGGTTAAGATATAGTCTGAGATTTTCAGGGTGTCGTTGTCGGGTGGTTCTTCGGTCGATGGTCTTTGCGGGGAGGGAGGAACAAAGCTTCCGGTGGCTTTGTTTCGTTGGTCTGTACGTGAAACGTCAATTGGTGGCAGTCGTAGAATACGGCAAACATTGATTGCTAGTGGTCAGAACGGCATGGCAACCGATCCGGAAGACCTGGCAGAAGCGGTACTTGACATATGCTATGTGCAGCTGACATTGGGACTTTCAGCAAGCTACCTCAGGGACATGTCGCTCGTAAAATAAGCAGGGGTCCAAAGAGGTTTCTTTGAGGGGGGAGGGGGCATTTCCCATTTCACCTTCGTTCGTCACCACACCCCTCTCCCCTCGGGGAGCTCCCAACCTACCCTTCATTCGCCGCACTACTCCCTCCGGTCGCTTCATTACCCCCGCTCGTCACGACACACGACGGTCCGATACCCCCTCCCCTCCCGGGCGTCCGCACCATCAAAGCTCCCCTCGAAGGCTCCTGAGAGAGGGGAGAGAGGAGACGACAGGGGATATCGGGCATACTTATGTGCAGTAAAACAACTGCTACCTAACTCCTTGGGAGGGGAAAGGAGGCGGGGAGGGGGATCTGCCAATCAGTCGTAATGCAACGTTTTTTCTGCCATTCATTTTGGTATGTGTCCTTCTCGATGGGCATTATCACCTCAACCTTCCGGCTGATTTTTACAATCCATCATAAACGATAAACTGCGTCCTCATGTAAATCGAAAATGCACTCGGCATCATCATTGTTTTTATGCGTTTTTGCACATATGCAAATGCAAGAAGGGTGAAAGTTTGTCAAGTCCGAGATTGTGGAAATTTTGACGGGAAAATCGCTAACTCGGGAATCAGGAAAGCTAGAAAGCCGAAATTTTGCAGTCATGTCACTCATCCAATTCACCCCAGGCATGCGTGGTTTTCATGTATGACCCCGTGAAGGTTCCCGTCGGGAGAATCGATAACTCAGGAGTCAGAAGAGCTGGGAGGCTGAAGTTTCATGGGGGTGTTCCCAGCCCGTGTACAACTTTAATTTATCAAATTTAGCCCTTTTGTGCGCGTGGTTCTCACGTACGGTCCCGTTAAAGTTCTTAGCAGAAAAATCGCTAACTCGGAGACAAGCCGGGACGCTGAAGTTTTAAGGGGATGTTCTCAGCCCACGTACAATTCACAATTTTCAAATTCAGGTATATGTGGTTCTCATATACGGCACCGCGAAAATTTTTGGCGGGAAAATTGCTAATTTGGGAACCAGAAGAGCTAGGAGACTGAAATTTTAAGAGGGCGTTCTCCGTCCACGTGCAAATTAAACGTTCCAAATTTAGTCCCTAGGTACGCGTGTTCCTCACATACAGGCGCATGAAACTTTTGGCGGGAAAATTGCTCACTGAACAGCCAAGT